CTGAGCCTCCCAAGCAGTTGGGACTACAGTCACCTGCCAACATGACTGCCTAATTTTTTTGTATTTTTAGTAGAGACGGGGTTTCACCGTCTTAGCCAGGATGGTCTCGATTTCCTGACCTCGTGATCCGCCCGCCTCAGCCTCCCAAAGTGCTGGGATTACAGCCGTGAGCCACCGCGCCCGGTCGCAGATTTGCAACTGTATATGCGGGTCAGCACCTCTAAGTATTTCATTGTTGAAAGGTCAACTGTACATCTCTGTATCTTCCACCTTATATACATTTTCGCAGATTTGTGTGTCTGACTTTTAATCTGTCCATTATTAAATATAACTAATTTTTGTATTTATACATGCTCTATTTTTACTGTTTCTCAAATTATTGCTTATTGTAGAATAATTACTTTTTGCTCCCTTTACTTACATCCTTCTATATTTGATATAGAATGATTTCATTCTACATTTGATACTTGATTGGTCCAACATCTCAATGTCCTTCAAGATCTAAATTTACAGTCTCTTTTTTCCTGCTGATATGTCCTTATAGTGGCTTGCTTTCTAGTGTATTTTTATACTTCATCTCTCAGTCTAGTTTTTATTTTGAGTGGATTGAAGGAGAAGAATGGCTTCTGTTTCTGCTGCTAGGCAACACACCACATCCAAGACCATGTCTATCCCTCCTTAGATATTTGAGTCTATCTGGCTCCAAGATGAGACTTTCTAACTTGTAGAGGTTCCATGGTTCCATTATTTTCTATCCTGTTGGTATAGAAATCTGACACAAGGAGACCACACCCCTTCTGGCCACCTTCCTGTCCGTGCAAGCTTTTTACTGCTTCATCCTAGTTCCTTCCTACTCTTGTGCAAATTCTTTCTATAGTCAGCACCAACTCCCAGACTTTCTTATCCCTTCTCCTGTCCCCAACACTCAGTCCACTCATGACCCAGCTCCTGGTTCATGTGGGACCAGCAATGCCTCCAAGAACATGTCCTATTAAATTTTGGATGTGGTGGTGCATGGAGTCTCAAGGGGGAGGCTCAGGATGAGATTTTGATTTCATAATCTGGGGTTATTCCAAGTACCAATATTTTTAAATGGTTTGACTGGTGGAACCAATATAGATGAAGTATCTATTACAGGGCCTGGGCCTTGTGAAGCACTCAATATGAAATAGTTACTTTACAAGCATGTTAACATGACTCTCCTACCTAGGAAGCTGCAATGGTTTCCTATTGCCCATCTCATCGTTTAAATACTTTAGTGAGGCTGCTATAAATTATCATTGTCTGGATGCATTTAACTCAGAATTTATTTCCCACTGACACAAACAAGCACCTTTTATCTGCTTATCTACTTCAGATTTCCCAGTGGAGTGCCCAGCTGAAGAGCAGCACATCATATAGAGCAAGTAATGAGTGAGGTGGTGGGCTGGCTTCTCAGCCAGTTCTTCAACTTGTGCTTACTAAGGCATTGAAACGATTTTTTAACCTGATCTTCCTATCATAAAATGAAATTAATGCTTATTCAACATACTGAAGTAAAGCATATGAAAAATTTAGAAGTACTTAACCAAAAAGTACATTTTTACATGACCTTGCTTCTGCTCTATAGGTTACGACTACCATAAATGAGAGATACTGTGGCATGATCTCTACACCTGCCATTACATCCTAGAAGGTAAGAATGATTAGGAGGTCCCTTCTATACATGAGAACACAGGGGCTGAGAGATGTTAAATAACTTGTCCAAAATCTAATAGCTCATAAACAGAAGTTAACCTCAGAACTATTAGATATCCAAGTCCACACTGATAAGCTGTGCAGAAAAGAGGAAGATTTTAGATAAAGAAAACACAAAACAACATGTTATAGTTGATCAGTGCTCTAAGTTGTATCACTCAAAATGTGCTGATAGTCCAAAACTATAAATAAGAAGAGGAGTTGGATAAGATGAAAGAGTATATGATGTTCTAAGGTTTGGAAATGGGACGGCCAAAACCCAAGCACAGAAATTTTCTGTCTTCTGTGGCAGAGATTCTTATAGTATCTACTCTGTCATGTAAAATAATATTGTTTCACACACTTCACACTGATAGAAGGATTTTAAATCAATACGCACATTTTAAATATTACTTATAGTAGAATTGCTACGTTCGTTTATTTTAAGATAATTTTCCTTATGTAATACTATTTTCTGGATACATATTTCAGTCAATAAATTGGTTCCTGTAAGTTATCTCCCCTCTGTCTACCTATTGCCATCCAATGTGGGTGGCGGGTGATTACAGTTCAGTCACTATAAGAAGTGCTTCCTCTTACCAGAACTACGACTAATTTGTGGAGGCTTGAGTGTGTCCTGAAATCAAGAAATAAAATCAAGAAAATCAAGAAAACCAAGAAAAAAATTTTTTTTTCCAAATCAGTCTATTATTACTACTACTGACCTTTTTTATTTCAAATTTTAATGTTATTTTAGTATAATTTACATCAAAGAAAATGTACCCCTTTTAAGAATATAAACTGATTATTAATTATATGAGGATATTTAGTATAATATCCCATTTAATAGACAAAGCAATATTGTCACCCCAGAAAGTTTTGTCATGCCCTTTGTTCTCAATTTCCTTCCATTTCCTCCTCTGATAAGTAGTGATTGAATTTCTACAACTATACATTAGTTTTTTCTAATCTAGAACTTTATATAATTGGAATCACAGGGTATGTTTTCCTTCCTATATGGCTTCTTTCACTCATAATGAAAGTATAAGTTTTCCATTCATGTTATTGCATATATTAGTAATTTTTTCCCTTTTATGACTGAATAGTATTTCAGTGTATGTGTCTAGCACAAATTGTTTACTTATGCTCCCAAATTGGATATTGAGTTGTTTCCAGTTTTTGACATCTTTCTTTTTGAGGAAATAGGGGGCCTTGCACTCTCATGGCTCAATGTTTACATTCCCAGGACACGAGACTCAAGGTTCATGATTCTACATCCCCATATATATGGTCTAATCATTGTTTCTGTGTCCTGGATGTCACTTTGGCATGCTTCAACTCAGTGGTTCTTGGCTCTGACTGGTGGGGAGAAACCCTCGTGTGAAACCCTTAAGTAGCAGAGAAAATAAATGAGTCAGTATATAAATTTAAAAGTAAATAAACTAAAGAGAAGTGGTGCACAGACAATGTCTGCTTTCTTCCATGTTACAATTCCTTCCAGTGGCAAGGAGCCCAAGATTTTGTTGCAATCAGATTAGGTCATTGGCAGAGTAAAGATACAAACACCATGAAGAACACCTTAGATTAAAAGCCATGTCATTGTCTTCCTACACAGTCGGTTCTACTTAACCAATGACATTTAAGTCTTAACCTAGAGCACAGGAAGTAAAACTGGTAGCCCACATGTCAAACCGTAAATATTTTTGTAAATCTGGTCGTTATCCTCCAAAGATAATAACATAACAGCCCAAGAAAATTTTCGGTAAAAAAAATGATGAATGAAATGTACCGTGTGCATTTTGCTATTAGTCCATCTTCCATCAAGTTTATTCATGAAATAAATTAGCCACATTGAGTTTATTTCTGGGATAATCAATTGAGCATGTACTGACAAAGGCAGAGACCTCTTCTGGCCTTCCCTGGCTACCTCTGTGTACAATTTTCATGAGTCCTGCAATACTTCATCTCTCACTTCTCCAATTAATTTCTTCTTCTTCTCATTGCTTGGCATATTTTATCATTCTAAATATTCCAGTTACATATTACATACCAGGCTTCATGTTCATCTTTCCCTCTTGAATGTGAGAGCAAGGGGGAAAGGATCATAATATGTTTTGACTGAACCCCTGACACTGAGAACCATGTTGTCCACATATATTTGCTAAATGAATGACTGGAGGCACTGCGTGAGGATTCTAACAAAAGATAAACTTAGCTAGATAATCTGCAAATAATCATCCTTGATTATTTTTCTAAACTGAAATATTTGTATTAATTATAGTAATATCCCTCATTATCTGCTTACCATTTGCCTGGCAATGTTCCATTCATTTTTCACATTTTATCTCAATGCTGCTCAAAACTGTGTAGATATGTATATGTACTATTAGCAATATTATTTTACAGACAGAGGAACCAATGTATAAAGAATTTCAATATCTTGCCCAGGAAGGTGAGTTTAACATTTAGGTTCGACATTCTGAGTTCACAGTCTATGCTTTGGGCCTCTATGATGCAATGTCCTTCAAAAGAAAGACATCCAAGATGAGTGAGTGGCTCATGGCTCATGGCTCATGCCTGTAATCCCTGCTCTTTGGAAGGCCAAGATGGGCAGATCACTTGAGTGCTGGAATTCAAAATCAGCCAAGGAAACATAGGGAGAGTCCATCTCAACAAAAAATACAAAAATTAACCAGCCCCAATGGCGCTTGCCTGTAGTTTTTAACTACCCAGGAAACTGAAGTGGGAGAATCATCTTAGCCTAGGGAGGTAGAGGCTGCAGTGAGCCATGGGCATGCCACTGCACTCCAGTCTGGGCAACAGAGTGACACCATGTATGAGAAAACAAAACAAAACAAAAGCCATCAGGAAAGGAAGAACATTAAATAAGAAAGACTTTAATTTTGGTGAAAAATGTTTACATTTCTTAAAGCAAAATTGCTTCACCGGAACGTATATTTTCCACAAGCTTTCCCCAAAGCTGTGAGATGCGGTCAAGGGAACAGTGGTTCACATTCTGCAAAGGTTGTGTTAATTTTTTTCCGTCAAGTTTTCGAATGAACGGGAAACTCTTCACTGTGTGAATTTAACTGTACACATACTTTCTCAATCCTGTCTTAATCTCTAAGCCCCATTCTCCTCCTACCCTGATCTATCCAGGGGCTGGTGAAAAAAAATTCCCATTGATACACTCTCTGATGCAGGCTACAATTCTGATTCTTTCTCTGGGAAGAAAAATAAAGATATGCATATGCATGTGCAGTGGGTGTTTTCCAGTATGTGCACACACCCTGCCAAAAAGGAAGGCGAAGCATACTTTCAGTTTCAGCCCACACAAGAAGGGCAGGAGAGAAGAGCCATGGCCGGTGAGTCTTTTACTGTTCCAAGAACAGGTTGCTGGGAAGAAAGAGTTTTGGAAGGTGCTGGTTCTTCTGGAAGCCATAATTAGTATCTGTGGAAGTTTAGGTGAGCAGAAGTGAGGAAAAGATGGGAGAGGGAGGAGAGGGAGGAGAGAAGGAACTAGAAGACTCTTGCAGCCTTTAGAAAGGAAAGGCAAGCCCAGAAAGGAACTGAGGCTTTAGGGGCAGCCTGCTGTCATTTTGCAATCTAAATTAAACTCTTACATGTTGAAAGTCTGACAGAGGGTACAGAATTGGCACAGGAGGAGTACTAGCAGCAGTGGTTCCTAAATGAAATGGGCTATTTCTGCTTCATTACTTTATTATTCAGAGTTAAATAAACAAGGGACATAAGAGGATGATCTTCACTTTCCAGGGACTAATGTGGAAATGGTAAACTCAGTCTTCAGGCCACTCCATGCACATGTAGGGAGACTATTGAGGGAAACCAGTAGGACAGCGATACAGTAAGAAGATGGATTACCCAACTGTGAGGAGGGGGACATTTCACTGATGAAATCTAAATGAGGTCACTTTCTGTTGATTACGTGAGAGGACTATGAGGCTGTTTTCATGAAGTGAGAAATCTTTGTGCTCCAAACAGACAAGGTCCTGAAGGAGAAGAGAAAGCTGTTTATCCATTCCATGGGTGAAGGTACAATAAATGGTTTACTGGATGAATTATTACAGACAAGGGTGCTGAACCAGGAAGAGATGGAGAAAATAAAACGTGAAAATCCTACAGTTATGGATAAGGCCCGAGCTGTGATTGACTCTGTTATTCGCAAAGGGGCACAGGCATCCCAAATTTTCATTACATACATTTGTGAAGAAGACTGGTACCTGGCAGGGACACTGGGACTTTCAGCAGGTAAGGGTCAGTGACTCACACTCAAGTTCACCTAGGGCCTGTCCTCATGCCTAACATTTGATTTCTTTACTAGTCATATTAATCTGCAGGATATCTTCTTATCTCTGCCTTTCGGTCATATTTCTGTAGCAGGGGCCCTATTGCATGTCCCTTGACTCTCCTTTGATTCTTTTCCTTCAGCCTCAGTGGCCCTCTTCTGATTAAAGTTCATTTTCTATTCTAAGTACGTGGTAGCTAATTTCCTAAAGGTCATGAGAACTATCTAAAAAGCTTCATACTATATGTTCCAGTGTTCCTGGCAAGGCACAATATTTATTGATTGATTTATTATTTTGTGTCCAGTGTGTCCCTAGGCACTTATGTAGTTGTTTGACATGAGCTTTAGGGTCTGTATTCAAGTACTTTTTATAAATTCTTTTCAAAATTTTGCCCTCTGAGAAGAATAAAGTATATTTAAGTGATGATAATACATTCAGGGAATACATTCAATGATTACAGAAAAGTGAAGATTTCAACCGGACCCTTTCCTCCCGTTGCCCCTTTGCATTTTCTTTTGAGTGAGATCACCCACTTGCCTGTTACCAGGCTGCAGATCATACTGGGAGGCCTGGACTTCCACCACCTGCAGCCCTCCTGAGGCCTGATACAGTGCTCAGGAAATGAGCTTGTCCATTCTTATAATCCCTTGGACCTACAACATGGTGAGGATCGGAGCTTTGGTGCCCTTGCACATCATTTACTGTCATTTAGTCAGGGTTGTGGGAGGAATTTGTAGTGAGGAGTGGCTTACGCATTGCTGTAAAGTTTTCCAGAGATGATAAGTGGCTGTTTCAATGTTCTTCATCTTTTTATAGGTCCGATACCTGGAAATTAGCTTAGTACACAAGACTCCCAAGGAGTACTCTCTTTCTTCCCAGGTAATGTTGTTTTTAAATGAAGAGCGTTCTTGAACCCCATCTTCCTTAACATTAATTCAGTAGAATGAGCCGTGCTTGAAGGGGCTATGGAGAATTCCCACAGATTTATCATATAATTTTCTTTTTTAATCCATTCTGTTTTTGCAGAAGCTGTTTCCAAAGCTTTCCTACTCATATTTATACTAACAAATTCTGAATTTGTATCTCAAATTCTGATTACTCAAATAAGTATCAAACTACATTATTTAAGCCTACTGAAATATTCCCCAACATCTCCCAAAGACACCTTTATCTAAACAATTTCAGAGCTGAACATGCCATTCTTCCCCACCCTGCTTCTCTTCCAGTTTTGTGTAACTTGGTTTTTGATGCCAACATCACCAGTTGTTCAAACCAGGAACCTGAAACTCATCTTGGCCCCTTTCCTCTCGTGCACCTCTAATATTCAAGCCACGGCCAAGTTTTATGCATTCTTCTCTCAAATTTGAAAATTTCTCTCCATTCTTACTTCCATTGTTTTATTAAAGAACTCTTATTCCTTACGTGCCCCCCTTAAAATAAAAGAAACTTACATTTGAAAGCAATTTAGAGGCTAGAAATGCACATTTTTGTCAAGTTCAGATACTACTCTACTGAATTTATTAAGGATGATTACCTGATGAATGTTTTCCTAAATGTTTCACAGCATGGGATATTCACTAAATAACCAAATACTGTATTCTCAAAAATAACTCAAATGCTTTTCTTCAGTTTTTTTCTATTGCTTTCACAAATCTTTACAAAGAAACCAAACATTTCTTCTACTAAATTATTATTTTATAGTTTTCTCCAACATAATCATTCTAATTAGTTCTTCTCCATGTCCACACACTTCATGCTGCCTTTGTTTATCCGATTGCATAGCAGTTTTTCAAATTTGTTTGCAAAATTAAATATTATTATTTTGCCTTAATAGTTTCTAAAAGAGCCTCTGGATATCTAGAACACTCAGTTCTATCTTGAAATGAAGATCACATTAATTTCTTTAACAAGTGCATCACATTGTCAGATTGTGTTGATCTTGTGATGAAGTAAAAGCCTCAAAGATTTTCTCACATAAACTCTGTGAAAACATTTCCTCGTACATTTGTGCAAGCAATGTTTAGTGCTATGAATCCATCTGGAGCACACCATGATTTTAGCATTCATCATTCTATTTTATATTTGTTCTAGTTTATGTAATCAATATTCTTGTCCTCCCATACGTATACATTGTAGGAGGAGATGCTGAAGGACGGGAAAAAGGATCATTAAAAAAATATTCCCTGTGTTTACCACTATGTCTATTAGGTAAATAAATAAAAGGATAAACACATCTTGTAAAAATTAATTAATGCTAATTAAAACTTGCTTCCATTAAATTTTATCCTAGGGTTTGAATCTTTTGAAAACAAATCATATTTTAACAGTTTTATATTACGGATTGACTGTTTCCTGAGTGCCTTATCATGCATGGCCTTGAAAAGCCTTCTATGTTTTTATCTAAAATGCTTGTAGAAATACTTATCCTCCAATATGAAAGTAGATACTCCCTGTAATGCATACCTAGAAATCTCTGGCTTGAAATGTGCTCCATTAGCAGCAAACACACTCAACTGTGTTAATGATTAGATTAGGATTGTCCTCTAGGAATATATTTCCTCTTTTGTAGCTTCATCCAGAGGTGAGACTATAAGAACAAAGAGGGATGCCACTGTTCATGATGTTCCTTGTCTCTTGCAGCTCCTCAGGCAGTGCAGGACAACCCAGCTATGTCCACATCCTCAAGCCCAGAAGGCAGCATCAAGCTTTGCTTTCTAGAAGAACCTCAAAGGATATGGAAACAAAAGTCACAGAGGTGCCATGTTCAGAATACAATAATAAAGTAGAGTGAAAGATATACTTCAGGCAGTTCTGAAATTCAGTGGCTTTTTCTTAGAAGCAATTTTATTGAGTGGTTCTGGAGAATCATACTTCTGCTCCCCTTGCATAAAGGATTTCTATATCCTAGAATCCCAGGTTTATGTAAAGAATTGCAAACTGGAACTCATAAATTATCGTAGTCTTCACCCAGTCTGTCTCTTGGAATTTATTTCCCACTGACACAAATGTCATTTATTTCCCAATGACACAAACAAGCCATTTTGTCTGCTTGTATAATCCAGATTTTCCAGTGTAGTGCCCAGTTGGAAAGAAGCACATCACATCGAACAAGTATTGAAGTGGACTCTGGCTTCTCACCCAGTTCTCCAACTTGTGCTTACCAAGAATTGGAGTCAGTTTTTTCTCTTTTTTCCTATTCATAAAATGAAATTACTGTTTATTTAACATATTAAAATGAAGCATAAAAAAATTTAGAAGCACTTTACCAAAAATTGCATTTTAACGTCACTTTGCTTTTGGGCTATAGCTTATGACTACTATACATGAGCGGTATAATGGCATGCTCTCTACACCTGGCATTGCATCTTAGAAGGTAAGAATGATTATGAGGCCCCTCCTATATACGAGAACACAGAGGATGGGAGATGTTAAATAACTTGTCTAAGATCCACACCTCACAAATAGAAGTTGACCCTAGGGCTATTAGATGCCAAAGTCTACACTGAAAAGCTGCGCAGAAAGAGGAGGTTTTTAGACAAAGAAAAAATAGAATAACATGTAATAGTTGATTAGTGCTGTAAGTTATATTACACAAAATGTGCTGATAGTCCAAAAACATAACTAAGAAGAGTTGGATAAACTGAAAGGGTCCATGAACTTCTAAGGCTTGGAAATGGAATGGCCAAAACCCAAGCACAGGAATTTTCTGTCTTCTATGTCAGAGATTTGTATAGTACCTACTCTGTCATTTAAAATGATATTGTAGCACAGACTTCACACTGACAAGATTTTATAACATTATGCACATTTAAAATACTACTTATAATAAAATTGCTACATTCATTTATTTTGAGATGATTTTACCTTTGTAATTATATTTTCAAGTACATATTTAAGTCAACAATTCAGTTCCTCTAAATTATATCCACTCTGTATACAATTCCCCATCCAGCTTGGGTGGTTGGTAATTACAACTCAGGCACTATAAAAACCACTTCCCCTTACCAAAATTTTTACAGATTTGTGGAGTGTGTCCAGCCAGAAATCAAGAAAAAAAAAATCTATTATTACAACCACTGACCATTTTTGCTTCAAAATTTTAATGTTATTTTTGCATAATTTATGTCAAAGAAAATGTACCCCCTTTAAGAATACAATTTCTTTGTTAAAGACACATGAATATTCTAGTATAATAACATCCCAATGAACAGGCAAACCGATTTTGTCACCCCAGAAAGTTTTGTCATGCCCATTGTTCTCAATCTCCTTCCACTTCCTCCTCAGATAAGTAGTGACTGAATTTCTATCACTATACGTTAGTCCTAATCTAGAACTTTACATAATTGGGATCACAGGGTATGTGTTCCTTCCTCTATGGCTTCTTTCACTCATAATTGAAACATTTTTTTCATCCATGTTATTGCATATATTAGTAATTTTTCCCTTTTATGACTGAATAGCATTTCAGTGCATGTGCGTAGCACAAATTGTTATTTTATGCTCCTGAATTGGATATTGATTTGTTTCCAGTTTTTGACATCTTCATTTTTGAGGAAACAGTGGGGCCTTGGGATCCAGGGGCTCAATGTTTAGCTTTCCAGGACATGAGACTCAAGGCTCATGGCTCTACATTCCCAGATACATGGTCTAGTCATGGCTTCTGTTTCCGGAATGTCACTTTGGCATGCTTCAACTCAGTGGTTCATGGCTCTGGCTGAGGGAGAAACCCTTATGTGAAATACTTTAGTTAATAGAGAAAAAAAATAAATCATTTAAAAGTAAATGTTTGGAAGATAAGTAATACACAGGCAATTTCTGCTTTCTTCCATGTTACAAATCATCCCAGTGGCAAGGAGCACAAGTTTGTGCTGCCATCTGATTAAGTCATTAGCAAAGTAAAGATAAAACACCATGAGAGATTGGGTATAGTGGGTCATACCTATAATCCCAGCACTTTGGGAGGCTGAGGTGGGCAGATTATGTCATCAGGAGTTCGAGACCAGTCTGGTGAACATAGTGAAACCCCGTCTCTAGTAAAAATACAAAAAATTAGTCAGGTGTGGTGGTGTGTGCCTGTAATCCCAGCTACTTGGGAGGCTGAGGCAGGAGAATCACATGAACCTGGGAGGCAGAGATGGCACCATTGCACTCCAGTGGGGTGACAGTACGAGACTCCATCAAAAAACAAAAAATAAAAATAAAAATAAAAAATCATGTCCTCCTACACAGTGAGTTCTAGTCAAACCCAAACACATTTATCTCTTCATCTAGAGCACAGGAAATAAAACTGGCAGCCCACATGTCAAAAGGTGGATGTTTTCCTAACTCTGGGTCTTTAATTTCCAAAAATATTAAGGTAACAACTCAAGAGAATTTTGGTAAAGAATTTGCTAAACATAACATACTGTGTGCATTTTTCTATTAGCCCACCTTTCATAAAATATATTTATAAAATAAATTAGCCACATTGAGTTTGTTTCTGGGATAAGCAATTGAACATGTGATTGCAAAGACAGAGATGTTTTCTGGCCTTCCCTGGCTCCTCCGTCTACAGTTCATGAGTCCTGCAATATTTCGTCTCTTACTTTGCCAATGATGTTTTATTGTTCTCATCACTTGCTACATTTGAACATTCTGAATATTCCAGTTACATATTACATACCAGGTGTATTAGTCTGTTCTCATGCTGCTAATAAAGACATACCCAAGACTGGGTACTTTATAAAGAAAAAAAGAGGTTTAATGGACTCATAGTTCCACATGTCTTGGGAGGCCTCACAATCATGGCGGAAGGCAAAGGAGGAGCAAGGACACATCTTCTATGGCAGCAGACAAAAAGGCATGTGCAGGGGAACTCCCCTTTATAAAGCCATCAGATCTCATGAGACTTCTTCACTATTGTGAGAACAACATGGGAAAAACCCGCCACTGTGATTCAATTACCTCCCACCAGGTGCCTCCCATGACACCTGGGGATTATTACAATTTAAGGTGAGGTTTTGGTGGGGACACAGAGCCAAACTCTGTCATTCTGCGCCTGGCCTCTCCTAAATCTCATGTGCTCACATTTCAAAACCAGTCCTGCCTTCCAACTGTTCCTCAAAGTCTTCACTCATTCCAGCATTAACCCAAAAGTCCAAGTCCAAAGTCTCTTCTAAGACAAGGCAAGTCCCTACCACCTATGAGCCTGTAAAATCAAAAGCAAGTTAGTTACTTCCTAGATACAATGGGGATACAGGTGTTGAGTAAATACACACATTCCAAATGGGAGAAATTGGTCAAAGGAAGGGGCTACAGTCCCCATGCAAGTCCAATATCCAGTAGGGCAGCCAAACCTTAAAGCTTCAAAATGATCTTTGACTCCATGACTCATATCCTGGTCATGCTGATGCAAGAGTTGGGGTCCCATGGCCTTGAGCAGCTCCACCATTGTGGCTTTGCAGTGTACAGCATCCCTCCTAGCTGCTTTTATGGGCTGGCATTGAGTGCCTGTGACTATTCCAGGTGCATGGCGCAAACTGTTGGTGGATCTACCCTTTTGGGATCTGGAGAATGGTGGCCCTTTTCTCACAGCTCCACTAGGCAGTGCCCCAGTGAGGACTCTGTGTGGGAGCTCACACCCCACATTTCCCTTCTGCATTGCCCTACTTGAAGTTCTTCATGAGGGTCCCACCCCTGTAGCAAACTTCAGCCTGGACATCCAGGCATTTCCATACATCCTCTGAAATCTAGGCAGAGGTTCCCAAACCTCAATTCTTCACTTCTGTGCCCCCACAGGCTCCACACCACATGGAAGCTCCAAGGCTTGGGGCTTGCACCCTTTGAAGTCACAGACCAAGCTATTTCTTGACTCCTTTTAGCCATGGCTGCAGTGGCCCAGGCAGAAGGGCATTAAGTCTTTAGACTGCATACAGCAGAAGGGCCCTGGGCTTGCCCCATGAAAACATTTTTTTCCTCTTAGGTCTCCAGTCCTGTGATAGCATGGGCTGCCTGGAAGTTCTCTGACATACTCTGAAGACATGTTCTCCATTGTCTTGGAGATTAATGTCTTGGAGATTAACATTTGGCTCCTCATCACTTCTGCAAATTTCTGCAGCTGGCTTGAATTTCTCCTTGGAAAATGGATTTTGCTTTCCTATCACATCATCTGGCTGCAAATGTTTCAAATTTTTATGCTTTGCTTCCCTTTTAAACATAAGTTCCAATTCCAAACCATATCTTTGCAAATACATAAAACTGAATGCTTTTAACAGCACCCAAGTCACTTCTTGAATGCTTTGCTGCTTAGAAATTTCTTTGCCAGATGCCTTGAATCATCTCTCTCAAGTTCAAAGTTCCACAGATCTCTAGGGCAGGGGCAAGATGCCACCATCTCTTCACTAAAACACAGCAAGAGTCACTTTTATTCTAGTTCCCAACAAGTTCCTATCTTCATCTGAGATGAGCAGCATTTGGTCAAAGCCATTCAACAAGTCTCTAGAAAGTTCCAGACTTTCTTACATTTTCATCTTTTTCTGAGCCCTAAAAACTGTTCCAACCTCTGCATTTTACTCAGTTCCAACATTACTTCCACATTTTTGGAGATCTTTACAGCAGCACTCCATTACTTGGTATAAATTTACTGCATTAGTCATTTCTCACACTACTAATAAAGACATATTCAAGGCTGGGTAATTATGTAAAACAAAAAAGAGGTTTAATAGACTCACAGTTCCACATGGCTGGGGAGGCCTCAGAATCATGACAAAAGGCAAAAGAGGAGCAAGGACACGTCTTACATGGATGCAGGCAAGAGGGTATGAGCAGGGGAATTCCCTTTTATAAAACCATCAGAACTCATGAGACATTAATTATCAGGAGAACAGTGTGGAAAAAAATAGCACCTATGATTCAATTACATCCCATCAAATACCTCCCATAACACATGAGGATGATTACAATTCAAGGTGAGATTTGGGTAGGGAAACAGAGACAAACCACATCACCAGCCTTCATGTTTGTCTTCCCCTCTTGAATGTGAGACCAAAGGGGAAAGGACCATGATATGTTTTGACTGAACCTCTGGCACTTAGAGCAATGTCATCCATATATGTTTGCTAAATGAATGACTAGACGCACTAATTGAGGATTCTAACAAAATGTAAACTTAGCTAGATAATCTGCACATAATCATCCTTGATTATTTTTCTAACCTTAAACATTTGTATTAATTATAGTAATATCAATCATTATTTGCTTACCATTTGCCAGGCTATGTTCCATGCATTTTCCACATTTTCTCTCACTTAATGCTCAAAACTGTGTAGGTACATACTATTAGTAAAATTATTTCACAGACAGAGGAACAAATGCATAGGGAAGTTCAATATCTTGCCAAGGAAGGGAAGTTTAAAATGCTAAGTTCAACATTCTGAGTCCAGAGCCTATGCCCTGGGCCTCTATGATGCAATTTCCCTCAAAAATAAACCCTCCAGGATGGGTGGATGGCTCATGCCTGTAATCCTAGCTCTTTGGGAGACCAAGGTGGGCACAGTACTTGAGCCCAGGAGCTGAAGACAAGCTTAGGAAACACAGGGAGACCCTGTCTCTACAAGAGATACAAATATTAGCTGGCCATGGTGGCATGTGCCAGTAATTGCAGCTACTCGGGAGGCTGAGTTGGAAGAATCATCTGAGTCTGGGAAGTGGAAGCTGCAGTGAGCCACGGTTGAGAAACTACATTCCGGCCTGCACGACAAAATGATACCCTGTATCAGAAAAAAAAAAAAAGAAAAGAAAAGAAAAGAAAAAGCAATGTGAAAAGAACCTTAAATAAGAAAAGCTTTAATTCTGGTGAAAAATGTTTCTATTTCCCTTAAAGCAAAAATGTTTCACAGGGATATACACTACCCACAACTTTCCCAAGAGCTGTGAGGTGGGGTCAGGGGAACAGTGGTTCACATACTCCAAAGGTTCTGTTACTTTTCTCTTTCAAGCTTTCTAATGATTGAGAAACTCTTCATTGTGTGAATTTAATTGTACACATACTTTTTCAATCCTGTCTTATTCTCCAAGCTCCATTCCCCTCCTACCCTGATCTATCCAAGGGCTGGTGAAGAAAATTTCCCATGGATACACTACCTGATGTAGGCTACAGTTCTGATTCTTTAATGGAAAGAAAAATAAAGACATGCATATGCATGTGCAGTAAGTGTTTCCCAATACATGTACAGGCCCTGCCAAAAAGGAAGACGAAGCATACTTTCAGTTTCAGCCACACAAGAAGGGAGAGGAGAAAAGCCATGGCTGGTGAGTCTTTTACTTTTCCAACAACAGGTTGCTGGGAAGAAAGAGTTGTGGAAATAGCTGGTTCTTCTGGAAACCATAATTCGTATCTGTGGAAGTTTAGTTGAGCAGAAGTGAGGAAAAGAGGGGAGAGGGAGGAGAGGGAGGAGAGAAAGAACTAGAAGATTCTTGCAGCCTTTAGAAAGGAAAGGCAAGCCCAGAAAGGAACTGAGGCTTTAGGGGCAGCCTGCTGTCATTTTACAATCTAAATTAAACTCTTACATGTCGAAAATCTGACAGAGGGTACAGAATTGGCACAGGAGGAGTACTAGCAGCAGTGGTTCCTAAATGAAATGGGCTATTTCTGCTTCATTACTTTATTATTCAGAGTTAAATAAACAAGGGACATAAGAGGATGATCTTCACTTTCCAGGGACTAATATGGAAATGGTAAACTCAGTCTTCAGGCCACTCCATGCACATGTATGGAGACTATTGAGGGAAACCAGTAGGGCAGCGATACAGTAAGAAGATGGATTACCCAACTGTGAGGAGGGGGACATTTCACTGATGAAATCTAAATGAGGTCACTTTCTGTTGATTACGTGAGAGGACTATGAGGCTGTTTTTATGATGTGAGAAATCTTTGTGCTCCAAACAGACAAGGTCCTGAAGGAGAAGAGAAAGCTGTTTATCCATTCCACGGGTGAAGGTACAATAAATGGCTTACTGGATGAATTATTACAGACAAGGGTGCTGAACCAGGAAGAGATGGAGAAAGTAAAACGTGAAAATCCTACAGTTATGGATAAGGCCCGAGCTGTGATTGACTCTGTTATTCGGAAAGGGGCTCCGGCATCCCAAATTTGCATCACATACATTTGTGAAGAAGACAGGTACCTGGCAGGGACGCTGGGACTTTCAGCAGGTAAGGGTCAGTGACTCACACTCAAGTTCACCTAGGGCCTGTCTTCATGCCTAACATTTAATTTCTTTACTAGTCCTGTTAATTTGAAGAAAACTTTCTTATCTCTGGCTTCAGGGCCATATTTCTGTAGCAGGGGCCCTATTGCATGTGCTTTGACTCTCCTTTGATTCTTTTCCTTCATCCTCAGTGGCCCTCTTCTGATTATTCATTTCCTGTTCTGAGTATGTGGTAGTTCCTTTGCTGAAGCTCATGAGAACCATCTGAAAAGCTTCATGCTATGGGTTCCAGTGTTCCTGGCAAGGCAAAATATTTACTTGTGGACTTACTTTTATTGAGTGCAAGGGGTCTGTAGGCACTTATGTAGTTGTAAAGCCACATGAAGCTTTAAGGTTTATAATCAAATACTTTTTATAACTTTTCTCTAAAATTTTACCCTCCCAAAAGAATAAAATATATTTTAGTGATGGCGATACACTCAGAAAACACATTGAACGTATAGAAAAGTAAAGATTTCTAGTGGCCTCATTCCTCCAGTTGCCTGCTTGTATTTTCTTTGAGTAAGATCACCCGTTTGCCTGTTACCAGGGGGTGGATCATGCTGTGAGGCCTGGAAATTCTCCACTTGCAACCCTCCTCAAGCCCAATACAGGGCTCAGGAACTGATCTGGCCAAATCTCATGACCACTTGGACCTACCACGTGGTGAGGATGAGAGTTCTGGTGAATTCCCAGTCACTGGTCTCTGTGGCACTTCCTAAAGCCACCTTCAGAGGTAGATGTTCTTTGAAAGCAAAAGCCTTTTGTTCTAAGGGTTAGGGAAAGGTTAGGCCTGTCTAAGTAGACATTGTAGATGTTTCTGTTTTCATCTATATGTAATAAACACGTGTTTTTCTATCAATGCCTCTTTCATTTTTTACCTCCCACCACTCTCTAAATTAAAGAACATCTTGAACAATATTTAATGGCAGTCAGTCAGTGTTATGGGAGAAATTTTTAGTGGGGAGTGTTTTACAGATTGGGGTATAGTTTTCCAGAGACGATAAGTGACTAATTCAATATCCTTTATCTTTTTTTTTTTTTGAGATGGAGTCTCGCTCTGTCGCCCAGGCTGGAGTGCAGTGGCCGGATCTCAGCTCACTGCAAGCTCCGCCTCCCGGGTTCCCGCCATTCTCCTGCCTCAGCCTCCCGAGTAGCTGGGACTACAGGCGCCCGCCACCTCGCCCGGCTAGTTTTTTGTATTTTTTAGTAGAGACGGGGTTTCACTGTGTTAGCCAGGATGGTCTCGATCTCCTGACCTCGTGATCCGCCCGTCTCGGCCTCCCAAAGTGCTGGGATTACAGGCTTGAGCCACCGCGCCCGGCCTATCCTTTATCTTTTCATAGATCAAACATCTGGAAATTCCCTTAATATGCAAGACGATCAAGGAGTACTTTCTTCCTTTCCAGGTAGTGCTGTTTTTAAAGGAAGAGCATTCTTTGACCCCCATCTTCCTTGACATTAATTTTGTAGGATGAACCATGGGTAAATGGGCTATTGGGAATTCTCATAGATAGGTCATACAATTTTCTTTTTGTAATCTACTCTGCTTTTGTAGAAACTGTTCCCAATGCTTCACTATCCTTGTTTATATTAAAAATTCTGAATCTGTGTCTCAAATCCTGATTACCCAAATAAGTACCAAACTTCATTATTTAAGCCTACTGAAATATTCACTCCCATCTCCCAGAGACACCTTATTCTAAACTTTCCCAGAGCTAAACATGCCGTACTTCCACACCCTGCTTCTCTTCCGGTTTTGTGTAACTTGATTATTGGTGCCACCATCACCAGTTGTTCAAAGCAGGAACTTGAAACTCATATGGGACCCTTTCTTCTCATGCACCTCTAATATTCAAGCCATGGCCAAGTTTTATACAGGCTTTTCTCAAATTTGGAACCGTCTCTCTATTTCTACTTCTATTATTTTGTTAAAAAACTGCTATTCCCTTAGTGCACTCTTAAAAAAAAAAACTTACATTTGAAAGCAATTTAGAGGTTAGGAATGCAAATTATTTATCAAGTTCAGATATTACTCTACTGAATTTATTAAGGTAGGATATCACGAATATTTTCTTAAACATTTCACAGCATGGGATATTCAATGTATAAATAAATACTGTATTCTTTACTATGAAAAAATAGCTCAAAAATAACCTATAACTACTTACATTTAGTTTTTTCTATTGTTTTCACACTTCTTTATGAAGGAATCCAACATTTTATCCAACAAAGATTATTCTATAATTTTCTCCAATATGTCTAATTAGTTCTTTTCCACATCAACACATTTCATGCTGCCTTTGTTTATCTAACTGATTGTATAATCGTTTTTCAAATTTGTTTTTAGAATTAAATATTATTTTTTGCCTTAATAGTTTCTAAAAGATCCTCCACATATCTAGAAAACTTATTTCTATTTTAAAACAAAGGTTACATTAATTTCTTTAACAAGGACATCACATTGTCGGGTTGTGTGGAAACTGTGATGAAATAAAAGCCTCAAGGATTTTCTCACATAAACTCTGTGAAAACATTTCCTCATGTGTCTGTGCAATGAATATTTAGTGCTATGAATCCATCTAGTGTGTACTTTGATTTTAACATTTATCATTGTATCTTCATTCTAGTTCATATATTCAATATTAATGTCATTTCATATGTATACATAGAAGGAAGAGATCCTGAAGGACACGATAAAGATTCATTAAAAAATATTCCTTGTGCTTACTACCATGTATATTAAGTAAATAAATAAAAAGATAAACATATATTTTTAAAAATATTTTAGTAGATTTAATTAAGACCTGCTCCCATTAAATTTTATCTTAGGGTTTGAATATTTTGAAAAAAGTTTATATTCTAACTATTTTATCTCACACATTGTTTGTTTTCTGAGTGTTTTATCAGGCACAGACTTGAAATTTTCCCTTTCTATGTTAGTATCTAAAATGTTTGTAGAAAGGCTGATCCCGAAATATGAAAGAAGATACTTGTAATGCATACCCGGAAATCTCTGGCTTGAAATGTGCTCCATTAGGAGCAAACTCACTCAGCTGTGTTAATGATGTAGCTCAGGATTGTCCTCCTCAGAGTGCATTTCCTCTTCTGTTGGCTTCATCCGTAGGTGAGGCTGTAAGAAACACAAAGCAGAACAAACAGGGATGCCACTGTTCATGATGTTCTTTGTCTCTTGCAGCTTCTCTGGCAATGCAGGACAACCCAGCTATGCCCACATCCTCAGGCTCAAAAGGGAATGTCAAGCTTTGCTCCCAAGAAGAAGCTCAAAGGATATGGAAAGAAAAGCCGGCAGAGGTGCCATGCACAGAACACAAGGATAGGGTGGGGTGAAAGATACACTTGAGGCAGTTCTGAAATGCAGTGGCTTATTCTTAGAGTCAACTTCATTGAGCAGTTCTGGAGAATCATACTTCTGATCCTCTTACATAAAGGATTTCTATATCCTAGAATCCAAGGTTTATAGAAAGAGATCCAAATTGGATCCACTTCCTGGGTAAATCACATCAGTGATGGCAGCTATTGAATGCTTTTTATGAGTGGGCATTGTTCCAAGCATTTTGCACATGATAATACATAATCTTTTACCTTAAACATAACCCATTTTAGAGATCAAGAAGCTAAGACATGGTATTGTTAAATATTTTTCTCAAAGAAAAACAATCAGAAATTGGAACAATCAGCTTTAGAATTCAGTATTTTTGCTTCAAAGCTCGTGCATCTTTCAAAATCCTACCTATCAAGAACAATGAAGTCAGCAGCTCAGCTGCCATCTGGGCATTTGCAATGTTCATGCATACTCCTGAAGCAGCATTCAATTCTGTTCCCCCTTTTCAATGTATGGTTCATGGGGTTTGGTATTTTGATAGGACTAAGGAAGGGGAAGCTGTCACAAACCAACAATGGAAATATTTAATTGGAGAGAACAAGGCTGTTCATCCAAATTACATTTCCTACAGATTTATCCAATAATGGTCAAGTCAGGCCGCACACGTCTTGCTCTCATTATCTGCAATGAAGAATTTGACACTCTTCCTAGAAGAACTGGAGCTGAGGTTGACATCACAGGCATGACAATGCTGCTACAAAATCTGGGGTACAACGTACATGTGAGAAAAAATCTCACAGCTTTGGTAAGTTCTATTATACAACAGAAACAATGGTCATGCCCTTCGTATAACTAAATAATATTAGAAAGCTTGGTTATAAGACCAAGAAATGTAATCTCTTGATAATCTAAAATACAAACTTGCCTTGAGAGAGTGCAGGATACTACATGGTCCCTTGTAACATAAAAGTCATTCAGCACAAGCCTGGTATAACTGAATTGGGAAATGTTTTATTGACTCAGTAATGCTACTGTCTCTCTACAAGATAACTCTCTGGATGACTTCCTATAACACTTTCCTTCACCTTTCTTGAAATTAAGACTAAAATTTTTTTTGGCACCCCATTGTTTGTCATGGAATCCCTTAAGAAACTGCTTAAGTATTTATTTATTGGCTTTCCAAGGTACCATGATAGTTAATTACATAGTTGAAAATCAGTGATATGGTCTCTTTCAGGAAATGACTACAGAGCTGGAGGCATTTGCTCACCGTCCAGAGCACAAGACCTCTGACAGCACCTTCCTGGTGTTCATGTCTCATGGTATTCGGGAAGGCATTTGTGGGAAGAAATACTCTGAGCAAGTCCCAGATGTATTACAACTCAATGCAATCTTTGAAATGTTGAATACTAGGAACTGCCCAAGTTTGAAGGACAAACCGAAGGTGATCATCATCCAGGCCTGCCGTGGTGGTGAGTGCTGATGCCTTTGAGAACACCAGACATTCAAATACTATCTTACTCTGTATGCATCCAGGAATTTTTGGTTTCTTTTTGTTTGTCTTTTAATGTCAAATAACACGCACTGTCAGTATTCCAGATTGCAGCTTCTGTGAATTGAATGGCTGGTTGGTAGATATTTGTTCTATATTCAAGCTTGAGACTTTGATGTTTGGAAATTTTTACAATTTGTTTGATGGTTAGGAACGATAAATATTGTTGAAAAGATTGTAACTGAAATGTATGTGTGTATTTGCATGTGAATTAATGATGGAGCAAACACATTAATAAATATCATTGAACAGAGGCTAGGAGGGAAACATCATCTTCTCAGCCATTGATAGGTAGTAACAAATCAAATTGTGTCTTTCCAGAGAACCATGGTGTGGTGTGGTTAAAAGATTCAGCAGGAGTTTGTAGAAACGTATCTTTACCAACTACAGAAGAGTTTGAGGTTGATGCTATTAAGAAAGCCCACATAGAGAAGGATTTTATTGCTTTCTGCTCTTCCACACCAGGTAACAGGTTTCTACACAGGACATCTTTGTTGGGGCTATCAATACAAAAAGTGACAGTCACCCACTAGAGGTGATGATTAACAACTCAATTATAACTCCCATATTAAGCCTAGCTCCACATTCTACGATGCAAATCCCACCTATATCATAGTGCTCTCCTGAGGAAAAATAATTATCTACTTCCTTAATTTCACAAAACATTTGCAGAGACACCTGTTTCCACCCTATCTCTTATTTACTTCCTTCAACTAAGTTAGCTGTGGTTCTAAATAGAATTTTATTATTAATATACACTTTATGACCATTATAATTGGCTGAAATGTGTCATTAAAGAATGTATCTGTGATTATACACAGAGCTATTGCTACTGCTTTTCTCTTACCCCTTTCTTTGTACAATTTTCAAGTATTCATTACTTCTGTGTCTACCATGTAATAAATTAATATTGTTTTCTTTAACATTTCTCTTCTTCATAAGAACTTCTTATTCTCCATTATCATGTGATCATTCTCTTATTGACTCTTCCTAGATTTCTACTTTTGTTCTGTTTTATGATTTGTATAGTTAACTCTTTGTGTGTAAATATCTTACTGCCAATGTTATTAAATTTTAAATAAAATTTAATGTGAAGTACATAGATTGAGAATTTATTTACATAATTTTCCC